CTCGTCAGTCCTCATGTGGGTGTGGCACACAGGTGTCACTCATTAACACTGGGACCTATTAATATGAATCAGTAAAGAGGGCACACGCTGTTGATGGATTAAGCAGAACCATGTTTACTCTTAGTGTTGTCTTTGCTTGTAAGTTAATGAATTGAAAATAGCTGATGTGAAAGCAATGTTTTGTGCTTAAATTTTGTACGTGTGTGAGGTTAGCAGTGCAAAAGTGTCCTAATCATTTTACTTTTGTTTTTGTCTTCTAGTAGTGCTTTTGAGCTGCAGCCAGCTGATATCTGCAGGTGCTGTGAATTACCTTTTGATATTGGATAGTGAATGTTTCCTAGTTTTCTCCCCATATGAATTACTCTCTTGATGTTGTCACTAATTTAAATTAGTTTACACTTTATTTAAATTTTTTGTGCATTTTGTCAAAAAATGGCAGCTCTGTTCTGAATGCTAAACTTGTTGATTTTTCGCTCAAACTGATTTGCGGAATTTAATTTGTGGAATACATGGAGTAGACAAAAGGGAAATGTATCTGCTCCAAACTAATTCAAAGCTTGTAACTCAATCCCAAGAGAAGCGTACTTGTTTGAAGTGACTTGATGCCTTAAAGTCTGCTTTTTTTCTTTTCTTTTTTTTTTTTTTACAGGCACTGTAGTTACGTGTATAGATTCTGAACTTTATCTCAGCTGCGGTAAGATGTGGTCCTAATCGATTAAAGTTGCTGTATATTTGCTATTTAATGGTTCCTTAACCAACAAAGTTTTAATTTTATAAGGTTGTTGTGTTTATTTTTTTTAGATGTTGGTGTGATCTTCGTGAAGTCTGTGACACTAGGATCACAAAGCACTCGTTATTGTGGACCTGCAAAACCACAAAATGAAATTAGGTGTTTTGCAATTCCAGTTCCAGCAGTCGCTAAATGGTAAGGGTCTTTCATTGTTCTAGAGCAGGAGTGCTCGATCCTGTTCCTGGAGTTCTACCTTCCTGCAGATTTCAGTTGCTACCCATATCAAACATACCTGAACCAATTAATTAGGACCTGAACACTACTTGATAGTTACAGGCAGGTGTGTTTGATATGGGTTGCAACTGAAATCTGCAGGAAGGTAGATCTCCAGGAACAGGATTGAGCACCCTTGTTCTAAAGGCTCTAGATCAGTGGTCACCAAACTTGTTCCTGGAGGGCCGGTGTCCTGCAGATTTTAGCTCCAACCCTAATCAAATACACCTGAATAAGCTAATCAAGGTTTTACTAAGTATACTAGAAACACCCAGCCAGGTGTGTTGAGGCAAGTTGGAGCTAAACCCTGCAGGGACACCAGCCCTCCAGGACCGAGATTGGTGAGCCCTGCTCTAGATTATAGGTATGGACCATTTCAGTGTGGTCATGTCATGGACACATGAACATTTCCTTATCAAACAATTTCATAACTAACAAGAATTAATTCGATCAAAACGTAATGTTAAAACCGCTATTATAACATTTGTCAATGTGTGGCTCTTTTTGGATTCTCAGAAGCTATAGAAATGAATGTAAACCATGAAGTATGTACGGACCATTATTGTTTACATCCCTTAAAATGGTCTGTAGTTGAGTCTCTCATGCTTGCTTTTGAGTATATGCTTCTTATCCTCAAACAGGTGTAACGGACGGGAAGAGTGTGACGTAGACAAGCAACAAGTTATTGGAGAAGATCCCTGTTTTAACCCCTACACGTACTACACTACCACCTACACTTGTGTCCCAGGAAGTATGAATTGTTTTTCTGTCTTCCAGTTCTTTTTCCTTTGTTCAAACTTGTAACCTTCCTCAATGTCTTTCAGAAACGAGTGTAACTTGTGAAGGCAAAAATAGTGAATTGAAGTGTGGTGAGCTGTATTTTCAATCCTCATTGCATCAATATCGGGTCATGTTTTGGTTTTAAAAGTCTTAACACTTTCTCCATAGCACGTGGTAAGCTTAAGGTAATTGCTGCAAACTATGGACGTACTGATGATTTCACTTGCTTGGAAAGACGTCCAATCAAAAAGCGCATAAATACAAAATGCTTTGCACCGAACTCACTGGATCTTGTGCAACAAAGGTATTAAGCAAATGGCTGCTTATTTTGCGTTCATATTATTTTGCATTCACTTGAATGCCATGTAATACCATCAAATTCTGCGTAGGCTGTTAAGGTAATGTTCTAGTAACATTCTAATGGAACCATTTTGGAAGTTTTTATTTTTTTGTACTAGTCAAAAATCCAGAGTAGTGTGTAGTGATATCCAGGGTTTTACATTTAAAACTTGGCACTTGCTGAATGCGAGTTAATATTAGCAGTGTTATGACTACCTTTTTTTACTCAACACTTTTTAAGGGTTTATAATGTTGTTTTAATTCAGTAGTCACCAAACTTGTTCCTGGAGAGCCGGTGCCCTACAGATTTTAGCTCCAACCCTAATCAAAAACACCTGAACATGCTAATCAAGGTCCTGCTAGGAATACTTTAAACAC